ACTTACTTTATGCTATCAAAACAAAAGTATCCTCTTTTAACTTTAAATTCTACACTACAGTATATGCTAGCTTGCTTATAAATATTGACTAAATTCACTAGATCATTAATATGCATCTACAGTTTTCTCTTCTGGGAAAATCTACCAAAATATTGATGACTCATTCAGCACTAATTGATTTTTTGACAGATTTTTTTGTCCAATTAAATGCTCTAGAATTAGAATGTCCCTCCCCCTAATGAATCAATGTTTCTCTTCTCTTCTCTTCTCTTCTCTTCTCTTCTCTGCCATGGCCCGCCAAACTCAGACACTCGTTGTAAATAGGACTTCTGAGGCTGTTCATGTCCAATTTCTAAACTCATATTTATGATAATCACCATAGCACCTGAAAGCAGCATTAAACAAAATTAAAAAAAAAAGTTGGATTACATTATTGATAAACGACATATGGATGAACTTGAGGGGAACTGACTTTATAAATCCACCAAAATTATGTAAAGTCAGGTAAATTCTGAGAAAACCTCTAGCATTATTGTATGTACAGTCAAACAAAAAATTATTAGACACCAGATATACTTTTTAATATTTTTATAGTGGGTGCAGGACACTATAGTTCATTTATGTAAGTGAGGATAGCAAAATAAAGTAAACTGTGACATATTACACCCGAAAATTCTACATACAGTAGACTACCAGTAAAATTGATAAAGACACTTTGACCTGATCATGTTTTGCTTAAGTGTTTTTTTCTTTAATTTCTAATGCGACCTTTTTACACCACAGACTGAACAAAATTATGCATTGCTTGGTAATTGGTTGAGCTAAATTGGTTTTATCTAATTGTGTTCTTTAAATTTAACAGCTGACAGCTATTCAGACGAATTCATTACATACCTTTCTATCAAAGTTATCTGACATTATCAAGATGAATTTGTTCTGACACCGTTTAACTCTTGAGTTCGTCGTATTTTATTATTTTCTAAACTATAAGGAATAAACTGTGAAAATGTTGAAGGTGTCTGAATAAATGTCGGTTTGACTGTATATATGCCTAGTCAAATCACAGCCTGTATATTGCCCGCAGGCAATCACAGCGTGCTGATATACAGCCATATCTCACTGCTGCAAGTGGCACGAGTGTGTAGTAAAGGAGACTCACGCCACCAAAGACGTTGTGATTTTTGGGTCAGAAGTCACTGAAGGAGCGGTTATGAGTATATCAAATGACCAATTCCCACCTCGCTCAGCTCAGAGCACCAGTCAAGGACTGTTAATTTGGTGATATAGGAGTGCTTCCCACAAGCTGTTCAACAATATAAGATTCACAAACCGGAGGGAGTTGGTCAACTGATTTATCTGAAAGATTGGTGGTAATTCAGATAGCTAGCAGAGCCTTGGATCATCAACACAAAGAAGACACAATTGTAATAAGATTAACGAAATTTATTAACAATAGATATGCAAGAGTAAATACAACAACTAGTAATGATAGCTAATAGGCAATAGATTTTACTAAATAAAATCATAGAAACAAATAAATGGAGTGAACACAGAATGGATAAATGCAATGCTGTTGAGCTAAATTTAGCAATGGACGATTTCTATGGTAATGGTGCGTATGGGAAAACCACGTGATGGCTCTGGTAGAATTAATGATAAACAACTGCTTATTTATCTTTGAACAAATAATATGGCTATTATTTGTAATGCTGACCCCAAGTAAATGTTATCTAAACAGATTAGAAAACAGGCTGCAGGTATAAACTAATGCAGAGTTCACACTGCACGATTTTAGCCCGATTTTTCACTCGCCGACAAATGCCCGAAATCGGAGGCAAATCGGTGCTCGTTCACGCAAGTGACAATCACGCAGTGTGAATTATCAAAGACACGATCTGAGGGAATCGCCGACACGTCGCCGACGCCCGCTAAATATTTGGCATGCTAAATATCTGGAGCTGTCTGCGATTCACAATCACGCAGTGTGCAATGATTTCTGACTGAAAACTACATCGGCGATGACCTACAGCCAATGAGAGACCAAGATAAGTTTGAAAATCATGCAGTGTGAACTCGGCATAAGCCAAGGTATTTAGGAAAGAGGTTTGGTAAGTTTATAGTTAGCTTACTCAAGAGCTTAGCTCAGTGGTTCCCAACCCTGGTCTTGGAGGCACCCCAACACTGTTTTGCATGTCTCCTTAATAAAACACACCTGATTCAGATCATCAGCTCATTAGAGACTCCAAGACCAGAAATTTGTGTTTTCCAAAACCCTCCAGGACCAGGGTTGGGAACCACTGGCTTAGCTGAACCTTAACTGTCTTGAAGTCTCCTCCTTCCTCGTCGGGTCAGAAACCTAGACTGTTGTTTCTGCTATTGTCTCACCTTCACAGGCTGGAGACTCAGAACATTGGTGATCTGCTATTGCCTTCTACCACACAGGTCGGAAACACAGAACGAGGAGTGTCTGTTGGAAGGAAACTTTTATCCCTTTCCAATGAGGAGGAGATTGGAATCTGGTGCCTCTCCATTCCAGGAATGTGATTGGCCACTTGTGTCCGAGGTGGCCATGGTGTTGCCCGCCCTAGTCTGGAACTCATTTACATAAAGTAGAGTACAAAATTAAACCATGTCTTCAACATTTTACCCATGCAATATTTCTTTACCATTTTGAGTATTAGAGTAGTAGAACTAGTAGTAGAGTGTTATGAGAGAGATGTACTGAGTGAGTGTGATTACCTGCATCTGATACAGCATTCATTCTTCAGCTCAATCTCATATTCACAATAAACCATTAGTTTGAATGTCCGCTGAGGAAAGCGATATCTTTGTCAGACTATCCTTTCATCTGTCTGTTAATGGTGATTTCCGATGACAGCGCTGCTCAGTGCATTTGTTGTTAAAAGCTGTTGTTAAAAGTAAAAATAACCTCATTGTTTACAGCCCTCTTTCAGTCTCTTGTCGCCATCTAATGGTAGAACAATGTAACTAAAATCACCATCACGAAAATACAGTTTCCCAATACTAAATACTA